TATATTGTGTGAAACTAGAGAGTAGCATACAAACAAAAGAATAGGGAGAGAAAAGGATGACAGATTGACAGATGTTGGATAGGAGAGAAGGAGCGAACCACACCACAGCGTCCACCAACATTACTATCCCCTAAAATGTTATGCTTTTCAATACAGTCGAAACAGACGGACAGCCAGACACACATATAAAATAAGCAGAAGGAAAGAAAGAAAGAAAGAAAGAAAGAAAGAAAGAAAGAAAGAAAGAAAGAAAAAAGAAAGAAAGAAAGAAAGAAAGAAAGAAAGAAAGAAAGAAAGAAAGAAAGAAAGAAAGGGGGGGGCATAGAACGAAATTCTATAGTACTTAAAACATTCAAATAAAATATACATAGGTCAACTCACTTGAAATTGAAAAAACTATTCTTTGCTTTCCTCATTCATTTCAAAACCCAGAGCCACTTACATACCTACGTAACCCCCTCCCCCCAGTCATAAATTGTTCCTTTATCTAAAAAATTTCTTCTTTACTTTGTATCAACTTGAGCTTCTTCAAATCCATTTTGCAGGCACGTATTTACCAACAAGATTTACCACCGTATGAGCTCTTATGATAAAACTCTTCGCCGTACGCACAAATGACGTGAGCATGATTCAATCTTCGAAAAAATCTAAAATATCAAATCTCATGTCTCTGTTTTTCTTCCTTCTCGGGCGCATCCCTCAAAACGCGACGTTGGCACGGTTGAAACAGCCGGCTTCCGTGGCATAACATAGGCCTAAATTGTGTCTATGGAGGCGTAAAAAAGTCCACGGCGAATTGCTCACAACACATGAAGCTAAGCGTGAGAACGCCAGCCAAGTCTTTAGGAAGCAAAATTATGTCTGCCTCTGTATCGTCCGTCAGTGATAATAGCTGGCCTTTACTGCCGCAATTTGATGCTGCGTCATGAGCATGAGAAGCGATCACCGGTCATCCAGTAAAAATAATTTCTCCTTTGCCCGACGCACTTTAAACATTTCCATTTTTGAAAAAGCTAATTAATAAATTAATACTGATGAATCGTTATCTCTCCCGTTCCCCTCTTATTTCGCTCAGACATGCTAATCACATAAAATGGCACAACCGGTTATGGCAATAGATATATGTCCAGAACGATAAATATATCATGTGATAAAAAGAAAATTGAAGCTAATGTAATGTAATTTCCATTTCGACTTTAAAAAGAGGCTTTTCTCGGGAATTTTAATGTTTTATCTGTTAAGCTTGTTATATCTTCTTGTGCGCTGTGGCGTTTTGGGAAGCGTGTTGTTTTTGTTGTTGCCGATGTCCTATGGGAGGGGAGTGAGGGGAGGGGGTTCATGGTGCTGGTGCTGATGATATTGAATCGTTATACACTTATGTACTCACGCACACACTCCAAATACACGCACGCAAGCACACAGTGAGTGGTTGGTGGGTGCTCTGGGGTGGTTTGCTCCTTCATTCCTGTCAAACTATCTAACGTCTTTATCTCTCCTGGGTTTTTTTTTTAAAGGTACACTCTAGTTAACTCTAGTAACTCTTCTAATCTTCGGCTCCTATATTATGACCTGATTGTGCCGTAAAACTCTCAAACACTCAGATATAATCACTTCACCCC